GTTTAGGGTTCAGGATGTAGGGTTCAAGGGTAAGGCGGTTGAGGTTTCGGGTTTCCCCTCATGGTGATTTTTGGTTGTTGCATGGTCCCTCAGTATCGGCCCTTAAAAGGGCATCCCTTATACACCCCTTATATACCTTATACAATGTCCTCAGAACCTTTAAGGGAGGCTGGGGACCATAATAAGGGCCCATAAAACTACCACCCTAAAACCCTAAACCAGAAACCCTAAACGATGTTTAGTGGCTTCGGAGTCAAGGGTTGAAGAATACACCTCTTCCATTGTGATCGGGCCATCAAGAACCGGCCAAGCAACTGCTCTGACGCTACTGCGGGTTTGGGGTTTAGGGTTTAGGGTTTAGGGTTTAGGGCACCTGGCCTAGCGGCTTGATCGCGTCGACTTCTTCATGCCCAGGAGGGAGGTTGCACCCTCAAATCCAGGGCTGGTAATAACCTACTCACACTAGTTTGGTTATAGGGTTTAATGAGGGTTTAGGGGTTGCAAGTTCGAGTTTCTTGGTTTAGGGTTGAGGGCTCTGTTACCCCTAAGCACTGTGCCCAAAGCTTAGGATTCAGGGGTTCAGGTTTAGGGAAGCCCCAGAACCTAAACCCTAATCTCGGCTGCCCCCCAGGGCATGGCAAGAGCTCATGCGCGACATCGCGCCAATCACCCCCAAGGCCGGCAAATCGTTCAGGGTTTCGGGTGTCGGGTATAGGGTTTAGGGCTTAGGGTTGGGGGGTTTAGGGTTTAGGGTTTGCTGTTTAGGGTTTCGGGTTTAGGGTCGAGGGTTTTGGTAGGTCTCCCTACTCAGGAATCCCAGCTTTCTTGCAAGGCTAGCAATGCTAGAAAGAGGGTGCCCTTTCGGGTTCCTGGAGGGGGGGGGGGGGGGGCCCAAAGTTTCTGTGTTGAGTTTCGGGCTTAGGGTTAAGGGTAAAGGGTTTCGGAGGGTTCAGGGTTTAGGGGCACAGAGTTTGGGGTTTAGGGTTTCGGGTGTGGGATGTTGGTTTAGTCCTTTGTGTTCGGGGTTCCCTTGCTTTGGGGTGTGTAGGGGTGCAGGGGCCGAAGGTAAGTGGCCATGTACAGCCGAGCCATTGTCGGTACAGTTCTTCGTGAAGCCCTACGAAGCCTACAAACCCTATAAGCACTAGTATCAAAATGCCCTAAACTCTAAACCCTGACCCTAAACCCTGTACCTTTCAAACCCTTAACGCTAAGCCCTAGGTTTAAGGTTTAGGGTTTAGGGGTTAGGGTTTAGGGCCACACCTTCAACGAGAGAAGCTGTCGAAGCGACACGAGCCAGGTAAGGGAGGCGGGGGCCATCTCACGTCGAGCAGTTCTTGTCACTTGGCTTTACTGTTCTGTTCGGCAAAAGAAAACATGAAAGCTTTGCACGATCTTAAACCCCAAACCCCAAACCCTAAACCCTAAAAGATGCTTCGAAACATGGGACTTCGATGAACGGAGCAGACATGCTCTGTATCACATGCCGGCGGACGCAGTCAACACAGCGAGCCACCTTCACAACCTGAAACAGGGTTTGGATTTAGAGGGTTTAGGGTTTAGAGTTTAGGGTTTAGGGTTTAGGGTTTAGGGTTTAGGGCTTAGGGTTGCTACAGGGGTTGTCCGACAACTCTCCATACAGAAGCATCAAGAGCCGGGCCGCAACCTTCCTAGAGAAAGGCGCTTGCGCTCCAGAAATCGGGGAGCACCTCCCCGACTGGCAAAAGAGTGGCTGCCAAAACCCTAAACCCTGAACCCTAAACCCTAAACCCTAAACCCTAAACCCTAAACCCTGAACCCTAAACCCTAAAGCCTACCGCAGTTATCCTTGAACCCTAAACCCTAGAGGCTGCCGCAGTTATTGACAGCCACGACAAAGCCTCGCTCAGAGTCTCGAAAAATTCCCCAAAGAGCCAAGTCAGGAAGATACCTTAAACCGCGCTAGGATCCCTATTCTGAATTTTGAGGTCTATTCCAAAAAAAAGCCTTAAACCAGACTAGGATCCCCATTCTGATTTTAAGGCCTACTTCCTAAAATAAGGGGTGTTCAGGGCTTTTAAGGTTCCCTCATACCCTATACCCTAAACCCTAAACCCTAAACCCTAAACCCTAAACCCTAAACCCTAAACCCTTGAATTGTAAGGGTCAAGGGTTGCAGCTCGGGGTTATTGTTTTCAGGGCTTAGGTCCACAGATCCACAAGCCCCCCCCCCCCCCCATTACCCAGGGTTTAGGGTTTAGGGTTTAGGGTTTAGGGTTTAGAGTTTAGAGTTTAGAGTTTAGGGTTTAGGGCCCGCACGCCTCATGCACGCTGTGCCTGGTTCATCTGGGAATCAAGGTTGGGCGGGGAGTGGGGGCCCCCTGATCAGGATTTTCAGGGTTTAGGGTTTAGGGTTAAGGGTTCAGGGTTTAGGGTTTAGGGTTTAGGGCCCTGAAGCTCCTAAGCCCTGAACGTCCCCCTGCTCAGGTCTTAGGCAAGCCGGCGAGCGGAAAGACCACCCTGATGCGGAACCCTGCTAGCATCAGGGCTTCGGTGTGGATTTCGAGTTTAGGGCTTAGGCCGGGCTTAGGGCTTAGGGGGTAGACCCTAAACCCAGTTTCTGCGCCGTATCACAGCAAACCCTAAACCCTAAACCCTAAACCCTAAACCCTAAACCCTAAACCCTAAACCCTAAACCCTAAACCCTGAGACCGAGCACTGTTGTTCAAGTTGCCGAGCCAGGGTTCCACTTCGGTTGTGAGGACTTGTGGGCTCTGGGAGCATTGGCCCAGAGTTCGCCTGCAATGCCACAAGGTTTATAGTTTAGGTGTTAGGGTTTAGGGTTTAGGGTTTCGGGTTTAGGGTTTAGGGGTTAGGGTTTAGGGTTTAGGGTTTAGGTTCAGCAGCTCTGAGCGTGAAGAGTCTAGTCCAGCCATTCTCTCGACCAACACCCACCCGCCCAAAGAATCCCATCACATCCGAACATGTAATTTCATATTTTGGTGGCCCCGAAACCAAAAACAGCTGCAAGTTACACACAAGTTTTTAAACTTGCAGCTGTTTTTTGGCTTCGGGGCCACCAAAATGGAAGCCATCAGAAGTCTCTTGAGTCTTTTGAGAGGCTTCAGGGCCTCCAAAACAGGCGCGGTCATTCGGGAACTTATTCTTAGGGAGCCATCTTGAGTCTCTTGAGTTTTTCCCTTGCCAATTGCCGCCCCCCAAACAGGGCACGGGGGCACAACCAGGAAGTGGGGGTCGGGGCGGGAGGGGCGGGGGGGCGGGGGGGGGGGAGAGGGCGGGAGTTTGCCCACGAAAAATGACCATTGCCCACAAAGAAATGACCATTGCCCACGAAGAAATGACCATTGCCCACGAAAAATGACCATTGCCCACGAAAAATGACCAATGCCCACGAAACATGACCATTGCCCAGTCAGACTATAGGGTTTAAATACCATACTGAAAAGAGTGTTTAGGGTTTCGGGTACGGTATTTTTTATATATTGTTATTTCCTGAAAATTAAAAATTTTGTCACAATATATAAAGAATAAATCTGATAATTTACCCATTAAATAAAGCTTTCGTTTTTTTTTCTTAGGGGCCGTTTAATTCTTAAATGTCAATCATTATTAAGAAACCGCCGAAAGCAGTGGGTGGTAGGTACCCCACAAGGTGTGCCGCCTCCACCAGAAGGTGCAGCGGAAAGGCCGCCGAAGATCCGTCGTACCGGAAGCAAGGGTGGCAAAGGTCCTGGGCGTGGGAAGAGCGGCCAGGGCAAAGGCTCCTGGAGGATTCCAAGTGCCCTCGCAGGGACCCGCTCCCACACTAATGCAGGTGAGCCAATCTGCTTTGGCTTTGGTTTGCGGACATGCAGAAGCATAGTGTCCAAGGGCCGCTGTGAGAAGGGGCTCCACATTTGTGGATGGCCCAGATGTGGTAAATCCCATCCAGCCCTCGATTGTCCTCTGGCCAAGAATCAGCAAAACGAGACCAGCTCGTGACTGGCCCCTATTAAAATTTCCAGGTTTTAGGGTTTAAGTTTAAGCTACTCAGGTTCCCGAAATAACTTGTCGAAGTTATAAACATACTTATAAGTTAATTACTTAGCACACGTAGCACCTAAGTATACTTAACTAAGTTAAAACCTAACTTATAAGTAGCCCCTAAATAGGTTGGCTTCTGGTTTACATGGTTTTTTTGATTGGGACGCTGACATGAAAAAAGACATTGAGACTGAGTTTTTTGGGCGAAATGTGGTGAGACATTGGCTAAATGTAGGACGACATGTGTGAGAGTCTCTATTTTTTTAAATTGCCCTAAACCCTCAACCCTAAACCCGTTTAGGGCGGAACTAGGAAGCGGCAGAAGTCGGCTCGGGCAGACCAAAGCGGCTGCACACGAATATGGGGGTTTGTCGGCACGTGGAAATCCATACAAGAACCATACAAGAATCAGAGGCAACGGCCCGTGCCAGCCATACAAGAATACAAGATCCCGGCCAGGACGCAGGAGCAGATTACAGGACATGGCTCATGTGATGCTGCTGGTCATACAAGAAAACAAGAATGGGCCGTGGTTGTCCCAGAGGCCTATCGTTCTACACAAGAAAACAAGAATCCGGCCGTATGCTTTTCCCATACAAGAAAATACAAGAAAATACAAGAATTAGCCGTCGTTGTATTTCGCCACGGAAATGAAGTTTGCGATCCACGACCTCCGTCAACGGCAGTTGCAAGGCCTATACGAAAAACTCCTTAAAAGCTACGCAGCTCCTTGAGCAAAAGGCCTCCAACTTGTACCAAGAACACTGTGACTTTAACAGCCTACAAATCAAAGAAAGCTTCTTAACCACCAAAATACACATTTTGATACATTTTTGGCTTCATGCTGAGCTTTAGACACAAAAAGACATGAAAATTAAGTACCATTTAAGAAGCGTTTACGTAGCGCCGCATTACCCCCGAACTAACACCGAAGTAAACACATATGTAAGCCAAGTGTACATAAACTGACATATATCTCTGTCCCGATTAGATAGCCTACATAGATGAATACTTGTCTTGGTTATAACATAATTTAACCAACTTGTAACATCACTTATAACTTGCGCAAGGAATATCGGGAACCCCAGCATACTGAACACCAAGCTCGTTATGCCCAACGATTTGGGCCTTTGTTTTTTGCGGGTTTTCCTCGCCGCCTCCCTAAACTCTAAACCCTAAATCCTAAACACTATGTCTCCAAATATGGTGTCCGGAAACCACAACAGGAGTCTTACTTAGTAGCCCAGTGGTACCCTTTACCTGTTTTTGTTTTGGGCTATGGGTTCCCTTATAAAGTAACCAACCCAAAAAGGGTGCCCTTGTTATAATATGGTTCCTGGGCTACCCAGCTTCTAAAGCATCGAAGTATGGCTTCGAAGCTTCTAAACCCCAAGCCCCGGACACAAAAACGCCTCAGCTCCTCAAAGCCCCAAGACCATGCAACCCCTAAGGCTCCCCGACCCCCGCCAAAAAAAAAATAAAAACAAAGAAAACACCAAGCCCCTCTACTTGGGAGGTTCATGGTACTTACTAACCAATTATTCCTGTACTTCTAACTGTACTTATAACTATATCAGGGCACTTAGGGGGGCTTCTAAGTGGGGTATAAGTTCAGTTATAGCTAGTTACTAAGTACCCTGAACCTCCAGGTAGCCCCCCCCTTTCAAGCAAAAAAAGAGGTGCCCCTTGTCTATTCCTAGGTTACTCTTGCGTTCAATTACCCCAAAAAACCCTACATAAAAAAAAAAAAAAACCTGTAACCCCTTGACCCCCAAACGCCCTTCACCCCAAAGGCCTCAGGCCTAAACCTTTCCTTGCAGTGCATGGGGACCCCCAAGGCGGCTCGTCTTGGAGATGCTGATTGCGTCTGGAGGAGGCCGGGCTGAGAGAAACAGAGAGAGAGAGAGAGAGGGAGAGAGAGGGAGGGAGGGAGGGAGGGAGAGGGAGAGACGGAGAGAGGTAGAGACGCGCTTTGCAAGGGTTAGGGTTTAGGGTTTGGGTTTGGGGGTTTAGGTTTCTTGCTTCTGGAGAGAGAAAGGGGGAGAGACAGAGAGAGAGAGAGACACAGAGCGAGAGAGAGAGAGAGAGAGCGCGAGAGAGAGAGAGAGATCGAGCGAGCGAGCGAGAGAGCGAAACAATAAATATTAATAGTAAACGAGAGTCAACAATGGAGTGCATGAGCTAGTGAAAGAGTGTGAGATAGAGAAAGAGAGCGAGAGCCCTAAGCGCCTCTTGCTGAAAGCCTGGACGCTGCTGATATTGTTCTAAACCCTAAACCCTAAACCCTAAACCCTTAACCCTTCTTTTGATGTGCAGGCTGCGTGCCCCTGCTTCTCGAGGCGAGCGAGATCGTGGCCTGACCGAACAAGAGAGCTCAGGGTTTTAGGCGCTTTGGAAATTCGAGTAGGTAGGCGCATGGGATATTTTACATGTTGTCTCATTATTGGGTTTGAGGGGATGAGATTCAGAGAGTTGAGGGTATGAAAGGGCCATCCTGTTCTAAGCCCTGAATCCCTAAACCGTTCAAGGGCTTGCTTGGTTTCAGGATTTGGGGCTTGCAGGACTTCAGGGTCTAGGGCTTAGGGTTTAGGGTTACCCCCCCCCCCCCCCCCCAAGAATCGAAGACCTAAAGTAATACGTCATGCTTGGGAGCTCACCCTTTTGAGCGTAATTAGGGTTTAGGGGTTTTAGGGGTTTAGGGGGTTTAGGGGTTTTAGGGGCTTCAGGGGGTTTAGGGGGTTTGGGGGGTTTAGGGGTTTAGGGGGTTTAAGGGGTTTAAGGGGGATCAGGGGTTAGGGTTTCGGGTTTAGCGCTGTGACCCTAAGCCCTCAACCCTGAACGCAAGTGAACCCGAGGTTGCCACGATCTACCATCCTTGCGGCTACTGCGTGGAGGGTGATGTTTTGGATGCCGCCGGGCTGTCCTAAACCCTAAACCCTAAACCCAGGGTTTAAGTTTAGGGTTTGGCGGCTTAGGGGCTTCGGGTTTAGGGGTTTTTGATGTAGGGGAACCCTCAACCCTAAACACTAACCTTTACTAAACACTAAACCCCCTTAGGGTCAAGGGGTTAAGGGGTTTACGGCTTAGGTTGGGGGTCTGAGGCTTCCCCCGTGGGCTCAATCACAAGGCATGGCGACTGATGAAGATCTGGAGCCCTATCTTGGCACCATAAACAGAAAAAGTCCCCGAGTAGACACCCTAAACCCTAAACCCTAAACCCTAAACCCTAAACCCTAAACCCTAAACCCTAAACCCTAAACCCTAAACCCTAAACCCTAAACCCTCTTTCAAAGGGCTTACAACCCCGCACCCTCAACTCTCAACCAGTAGGTTGGATCACCCCTCCCACACAGAAGGCAGCCTAGAGGTTTCCCTGTAAGGGCTCCGTCCTGGGTAAGGGCTTAGAAGTGAGGGTTGAGGGTCTACCCAAAGGCTCCAATGTAGTTCCTTTTTGGGTTAGGTATAGGGGATTCTAGTATACTACCCCAAAAAGGTACTACATAGGAGCCTTTGGGTAGTGGGTTTAGGGTTAAGTGGGTTTAGAGTTTGGTAGCTTTCCTGTGTTTGGGGTTTGGTCTGTTTAAGACCCTAACTCCTAAATCCTAAAGCCTAAAGCCTAAACCCTAAGCCCTAAGCCCTAAGCCCTAAACCCCAAACCGTTTAGGGTTGCATTAGGGTGCGTGTGTGTATTGTATGTGTGTACCCAGGCTTTGCTGCAGAAGCGCCATTCGACCGGGGCCACCTACATGCTCCTTTGGCAGGCGCGCGCGTGCTCTCGTTGACTCTAAACCCGGGTTTAGGGCTTAGGGTTTAGGGTTTAAATTTTAGGGTTTAGGGTTTAGGGTTTAGGGTTCCTAAAATAACCCAAAACCCTCAACCCCAAGCCAGGGGGATTCTAACAAAAGCCCGGGAAGTTGATGCCAGTGTTTAGGGTTTAGGCTTAGGGGTTTAGGGGCGGGATGAAGACTCGTGCCCCTAAGGTTGTACCCCTTGGTTCCCCTTCATATACTCCTAAGATGGCACTTATATTCCCTTAGGGATGCTGCCCCTAAACCCTAAACCCTACAACCTTAAGTGTCCAAGGTAGAGCCCCCCAAGTTCTGGGCTTGCGGTGCCGTAGTTTCTTTCGAGAAAAATCGTGTGCCAGAACCCAGGACCTGCTAGAAGGCTACTAGAACCGTGTTAGGCCCCGGGAGGCTACAGAGTAAGCTCTAGAACCCTAAACCCTCAATCCCCAAACCCTCAAGCCCCTGTAACTTGAAAATTCTTCAAGGTCAAAAAGAAACTCATCCGAGAAGCTTTCCTCGAAACGTGCCTCGGAACTCCACGAAATTTTCTCGGACCTGAACCCTCAGAGTAACCCTAAACCCTGCACCCTAAACCCCAAACCCTATACCCTGAACCCTAAAACCCTAAACCGTAGCCCCAAACCCTAAACCCCAAACCCTAAACCTGAAACCCAAAACCCTAAACCCTAACCCTAAACCCTAAACCCCAAACCCTAAACGCTAAACCCTAAACCTGGCAGGCCCTCTACAGCCGACGAGCCAGACGCCCAGCCATGGCTTCCTTTAAGGCTCTAAGCGTTAAGGGTTTAGGGTTCAGGGTTAGGCCCAAAGTCGCCGCTTACAGGCCCTTGAGGTTGGGTTTAGTTTTTAGGGTTTAGGGTTTAGCGTTTAGCGTTTGGGTTTTAGGGTTTAGGGTCTTAAGAAGCTATGAGCTCTCCAATCCTAGACCCTAATGTCCTAAAAGAGCCAACTAAAACATCCCCGTAAAGAGAACGCAGAAGGCACCTGCTTCCCGTAACCCAATAGATACCTAATGCTCTGATTCCCTGCTGACACTACGGGCCCATATACTCACATACTATATACTTGGGACCTAAAGTCTACTTTATAGGAACCCCTTTGAGGCGCAAGTATATACGGCAATCCCTAAATCCTATACACTAAGCAATATCCTGTGCAGGTACATGGACCCTTTGAGTACTTATATGGCCCCTTGCACGACCTTGAGGATCTTTACGCAGGGCCCCTAAAATCCAAAGGGTACAACCTTCAGAGTCCAAGGTACAACCCTAAACCCCAAACCGTAAACCCTAAACCCTAAACCCAAACCCCAAACCGCAAACCCTAACCTTTAAACCCTAAACCCTAAACTCTAAACCCCACAGGTACATGGACACTTTGTGTAAGGTAAGCCCGAGGTCATCATTTTCGTGGACGGCGCGGATGAGAACGACTCGGGTTCTTGGGAGGCGCTCACGCACTACTTGCTCCTTGGACTGGAACCGGGGCTTTGGTTTTAAGCTAAAAATGTTTAGGGCTTCGGGCTTAGAGCTTAGGGCTTAGGGCTTAGGGTTTAGGGCTTAGAGCTTAGGGTTTAGAGCTTAGGGCTTAGGGTTTAGGGCTTAGGGCTGAGGGTTTAGAGCTTAGGGCTTAGGGCCTAGGGTTTAGTAGTTGGGGTTTTAGGGCTCTAGGTTTAGGGTTTATGGGGCATTATCTGGGATTTTCTGTGGGTTTCGGAGGATCATACTTAAGACTTGTCAGAGGCTTTTGTGGCGGAAACTTGTCGTTTCGGTTTCTTACAGGATGCTATAGAGGTCTGGAGAAGCCGGGGCCTGTCTTTTTTGTCTTAAAAGTTGTTTGTGTGTCAAGGCGAAACTATTCTCAGCGATTTCAAGGCTTGCCTGTCGCATCCCGACGTAGCAAGCTTAGGTGTCGAGAGCAGCTGCTTTGTGGTTGAAGGTTCGACCCTTCATCTTGCAAACCCTGACACCCTAAACCCTAAACCCTAAAACCCTAGACCCTAAACCCTAAACCCTAAACCCTAACCCGATTCATAAGCCTTCAAGCCTCTGTGGCTGCCTGGCAAGCCGTAAACCTTGGGATGTTTCTCCTTATACTAACAGTTCTTCATCGGGACCCTAAACCCTAAACCCTAAACCCTAAAGTCTATACTAGGGGGTAGTATAATCCCTGTTAAGGACTATTAGCATGAGGGAGAACATCCAAGCTCAATTTTCGTAAGGCCCCGAGCTTGTAAAAGTCTCCGGATTCTGACGGCAGGAAGTGACAGAGAAACGGTGTTGCTCACTTGACGGGGGCCCTTAAAGAACTCTAGACCCTAAACCACAGGTTTATATGGTCTTGCTAGCTTTCTCCGGGCGTTCAGCGCCGAGGCACTACCTCACAAGCATTGGCCACCCAGTCGTCCTGCTGGCGCGGCCCTCGTTATCGCGCTTCCGCTGGCACATGCGTGACCACGCGGGGAGACCCAGAAGACGTCCGAGCACGAGAGCGCCAAAGGTTGAGAGGGTCTGAAGGGGGGTTTGTTTTGATATAATCCGCTCGGGTGCCTTTTTTGGGGTCACTGCCGGTATTTTGCAGCCCTTTGTCATGCATATTCATTTGTCAACCCTAAACCACCCTGAAAGGCCCTAAACCCTAAGTACACCCTAAACCCTACACCATATTCATTTTCAACCCTAAACCCTGAACCCTACACCCTAAACCTCAAGGCTGAAATCCCAAAGCAGTACACGGCGTTGACGTTTGGGCGTCGGAGCTTTGCTTTCTGAGGGCTGCTAAAATAAATAGGGACCCCCCAAGCCTGACCACTGCCCAACGTATTCCCCGCAATTCTTTGGGTCTTACTTCGATCTTTGGAGGTAGCCCTAAACCCTAAAACCCTAAACCCTAAAACCCTAAAACCTTAAACCCTAAACCCTACAAGCCCTAAACCCTAAAACCCTGAACCTTTAAAGTGCTTTTGAGGTAGGTGAGCACAGGGTGCTCTTTTTTTGTTTAAAGAGGTTTAGAAGGGAACCCAAACCCCCCAAAAGGGGGGAATCAGAGTACTACTGGGCACCCTAGAACTGGTTCTACGGCTTCGGAGGGTTTAGGGTTTAGGGTTTAAGGTTTAGGGATAGGGTTTAGAGCACGGCTTCGGGTGCCATGATGGGGCTCCAGTAGTTTGTAAACTGAAGGTTTTGGTACCTCCGAAGGAAGGCTCTCATGTCACCAAGGGTCACAGAAGGGCTTGTTGGCGCTAGGGCTGAGGTTTCACGTCCCTCCCCCTAGGACCCAGAGTAGGCCCTTATTCCTTTTTTCAGTTTAGGTTTCCTGAAAAGCCCCTTTAAAACCAAAAAGGGTACCCTTCTTCATGCCTAGGTTACTCGTGAGGAGTTGGACCATTAGGGCTTTTGAGGTTGGGAGGCCCGAGCCGGCCGGGAGCCAGTAATTGCACTTGGATTAGGGTTTTGGGTTTTGGGTTTTGGGTTGGGGGTTTAGTGTTTTGGGTTGAGGGTTGAGACCCCGAAGCCATACGTTGTCTCACACTTCCAGTTTGTACCCTAAACCCTAAACCCGAAAGCCTAAACCCCAAACCCTAATTAAACCCTAAACCCTAAACCCTAAACCCTAAACCGCTGCACCTACACAAATTAAGCTCTCAAATGTTGAGCACATTCTCGCCCCAGTTCGCGGCCACGTCCTCCTACCGCATCGGGCAATTCTCCAAGCACGCCGGCTGCAGCAGTTGTTACATGAAGTCCTACTTGGAGGTTCATGGTACTTACTAACCAATTATAACTGTACTTATAACCCTACTTTTTGTGCCTAAACCCTAAACCCTAAACTCTGAACCCTAAACCCTAAACCTAAACCCTAAACCCTAAAGACCCTAAACTTTAAACCCTGAACCCTGAACCCTAAACCCTATAGCTTCCTAACAGGGGGGCGGGTGGGCAGGGATTGATGGGTTTCACTGAGCTTGCGGTTGCTTCTGTGGCTTCGGCTGTTGGCCATTCCCCGCCTACAACTTCGCCTTTCTTTGGGTATGTTTTCATGCCCCACCTCCGTCCGTCCCGCCTTCGCCCTCCCCCCCTTCCCCCCCTTCCCCCCCGCCCCCTCCCTCCCTTCCCCTCACCCCCCCTCCCTCCCTCCCCGAGAGTGTTGCCCGTTTGCCCTTCGCGAGTTCTGAGTTCCCCGGACAAAGGCAAGCAATCCCAAAACGGCGATGCCCGTTGTTGTATGGCCACTGGGCCACCAAGCTTTTTCTGAGGCAGCCTATTATGCACAATGTACGGGTGCCGCCCCCCCCCCCCCCCCCCCCAAAGAACAAGGACTACAAACCTTCGAACCTTCGTGGCGGTCTTCAGCCACAAACCGTAAAACGTACATGTCAAAGTTGTGGTTTAGGGTTTATAGGGTTCAGGGGTTGGGGTTAGGTTTATGGGTCAGTCCAGTATACTTACAACTTACAATATTATTTACATATTCATTTTATAAGTACGTATGGCCGAGATAAAGAGACCGAGACCTTGCACAGTACATCCTGCAACCTCCTAACCTGAACAGTCAGTCTGCTGGGGTTTTAGGGTTTAGGGGTGTCGTGGTTTGGGGTTTAGGGGTTTGGGGTTTAAGGGTTAGGTAGGGGTTAAAGGCTTAGGGTTTAGGGTTCGGGTCTAGGGTTTAGGAACCAGAGGCAAGCCCCTGACGCCCAAAAAGCCTTAAAGTTCCAAGGGCGGTAGGAAAGCCTCTTCCGAGGCGTATGGGGTACTCACAGAAAGGGACTCTGCCGTACCCAGTAGCCCTCACCCCTGAACCATAAACCCTAAATCCTAGACCCTAGACCGTGCACCCTGGGTCAGACCCGGAACCCAAGCCCTGAACAGGATCCGTGCCCTCAGTTTTGCACGCCCACCATATCCAACCAGGATGAGGGTGTAGCGTTGCGGGTCTTTCTTTACTGGGTGTTGGAGTACTATACTTAAATGTTTGTTTTGGTTCTGGGTTCCTCTCTCATAGCTACTTATGCTTAAAAAAGTATATACTTTTCTTCCAGGGTCTACTCCAAGGTACGGTTTTATGCTGTGTGGTCAGCTCCCTCAGTTGTCCTTCCGTTGCAGGGTCCAGGGCTTCTTGAAGCTAAACCACTCAACCCAAAAAACCCCAACAAACCTAACCTGAACCCTAAACCCTCAACCCCAAGCCCTGAGCTGACAAATACCCTTAACCCCAAACCCTAAACCCTCAAACCCCTCAACCAAAAAACCTTAAACCTCTCAGCACTAAACCCTAAACCCTCCTGAACCCTAAATCCTAAACCCTCCTAAACCCTAAACCCCAAACCCTCCTAAACCCTAAACCCTCCTAAACCCTAAACCCTAAACCCTAAACCCTCCTAAACCCTACTAAACCCTTTACCCTAAACCCTAAACCCCACACCCTGAAACCCCTCAACCAAAAGGCCACTACAGCGCCTCGCGGCCGCGCGGCTTCCAGGGCCTGCTGCGGAAACCTTCATGCCGCGCGGGCTGTTTTGGGTTTAGGGTAAGTTTAGGGTTTAGGGTTTAGGGTTTAGGGTTTAGGGCTGCTAGAGGAAGATTTGGAACGCTTCAGGGTTTAAAGGTTGAGGGGTTTAGTTTTTTAGGGTTTTGAATATTTCGGTGCGATTGAAAGTTTTGGGGTGTGGGGTTTAGGGCCTTGGGCATCGGACTTTGGCAGGTTTTGGGGGCATGTTGCGGGGTTGCATTGTTTTAGAGGGTATGGTAGTGGCTTGCAGGGCTTATTTGGCTTATACAGGATCGACAAGGTTGAGGGGGTTGTTACTTTTCTTTCAAGGTTTGCGGTGCATAGAGCTTTCGAAGCTGCTGAAAGCACCTCTGCTCATGGCCCTAGAACCTTTCTGCTGAGGGTGGTGAGGGACGTTAGGGAGGGACTAGGGTCTCGGGTTCACGGCTCAGACAATTCCGTGTGACGGTGACGCCTTCGGAGGTCTTTCGCGCCGACCTTTCGGGATTTCGCCCTAAACCCCTAAACCATAAACCCAAAACCTTTCACAGAATGGGATTCAGGGTCTAGGGGTTCAGGGTCTAGGGTTTAGGGTGTCTAGGCCCTCGCATGCATTCTTAAGTAGCGGAATGATATGACGACTTGTAAGCGCCCATAGCCAGGCTGACTAACCGATACCGGAACTTATAGCCTTAAGTTTCACGGGTTTCGGCCCAGGGTTTAGGGTGTGGGGTTTAGGAACTCCGCCCAAACCCCTGAAATCCTAGAACCCACACGTGCGCACACCCGTCAACCGAATGCCAAAAAACAATTCCCAAAGAGCCCTGGCTTATATGGCAGTTGTTCTAAGGTGTTTTGGGTTTGGGGTTTAGGGTAATTACTTGTCCAAAAAGTCACCATAATGTAAGTTCTTAAGGAACGTCTCAAAACAACCCCCCCCCCCCCCCCCCATATATTCTTAACTCCCATCCCGTACTAAACCCGACACCCTTGATGAAACCCTAAACCCTAAACCCTTCATGAAACCTAAGCCCGCCAAGCCTTATAAGCTCTACAACCCCTCTGCGCTATGCCCGTAATAAGCCCTCGACCCTGGACCATGAAGCCAAGCCTTAGGCCCTACACCCCCCTGAACCATAAAACCCTTTACACATGTTGCCAAATTGTGACTAAACCTGAAACCCTAAACCCTAAACCCTAAACCCGAAACCCTGTGGAGCATGGCCTGCTTAGCAGGGCGACTTTCCAGCCTTGCGAGACGCTCTGCCGTCATCCGGGAGGTCTGGTTGAGGGGGAATTGGGGTTGAGGTGTTGAGGATTGAGAGGGCGAGGTTCCGGGGCTTGAAGAATTTAGGGTTTAGAGTGTAGAGTTTAGGGTGGGTGTTTCAGGATTCGGTGGAATCTGTGGTATGTGGCTTCAGTATTGATGTTCCTGTTCGAGTTGCTTCTACCCCTCTCAAACCCTAGACCCGAAACCCTGACTCCACGAAAACCTCAGCCCCCAACCCTACATGCCACCCTAACTACCCCCAAGCCCGATAAACCCCAAATCCCAAGCCCTCCCAAGCCACAACAACTGGGCATGTTTGGAGCATTGTGTACTGTTTGCTTAAGAACCCATCCCCCAAAAAGAAACACATAATTACAAAGAGAAGAAAAACATCAGAACAAAATATTTTTCCTTACAGGGGGGGGGGGGGGCAATATAGGAATGATTATCTTTCATGCTCTTCTTATTTATAGCCATATTTATATTTATATTTATATTTATATTTGTATTTATATTTACGTGTATATATATATGCATATATATATATATATTTCTTTTTTTGGGGTGGGGGTGTTTCTCTTGGGGTTCTTAAGCAAATAGTAGCTGTGCGGGCCAGCCTTGCGGTGACATGTTGACACGATACGATGGGGCTCAGCCCTGAGGGTCATAATGCCCTGAACCCTAAACCCTCTCTATCATATATATATATGTGTATATATATATATCTATACATATGTATATATATATATATATATATTTAACCTTCGTGCGATTTCGGCCAAACTGCCCCCCCAATGTTCGGGCGATTTCGGCCAATCTGACCCCAATGTTCGGGCGATTCCGGCCAATCTGACCGTGACCCTCTAAACCCTACACCCTACACCCTAAACCCTAAACCCTAAGCCCTAAACCCTGAACCCTAGACCCTAAACCCTACACCCTAAACCCTAAACCCTAAACCCTAAACCCTAAACCCTAAACCCTAAACCCTAAACCCTGAACCCTGAACCCTGAACCCTAAACCCTAAACCCTAAACCCTAAACCCTAAGCCAGGCTTGGCCCTGCTCCTGAGCCAAGCCGAGCTCCGCTTTGCAGCTCGCCTGGCTCCGACCAAGGCGAAGGAGCAGGGTTTAGGGTTTAGGGTTTGGGGTTTCGGGTTTCGGGTTTCGGGTTTGAGGTTTAGAGTTTAGGGTTTGGGGTTGGGGGTTTGGGGTTTAGGGTTTAGGGTTCAGGGTTTGGGGTTTAGGGTTTAGGGTTTAGGGTTTGGGGTTTGGGGTTTGGGGTTTATGGTTTATGGTTTAGGGTTTAGGGTTGAAGGTTTGGGGTTTCGGTTTCAGGGTTTAGGGTTTGTAGGATTTAGGGTTTGGATAGAGTTTTGGGTTCAGTGTTTAGGGTTTATGGTTTAGGGTCTATTATAGGGTTTGCTGTATAGGGTGTGCTCGGCAGGTCGCGCGCTGGCACGCACGTAGTATGAAGAAGCGCCCACCCCAAGGCCCTGCCAAAAGGCACTTGGGACACTTTGGACACTGGGGGTTTAGGGTTTACAGGGTTCAGGGCTTGGGTCACTTGGGACACCGGGACCTTTGGCACACTTGGTCCACTTGGAACACTTGTTCAAGATGCTCGTGACATTTGCAACACTTGGCAATTGAGACACTTGGGACCTCTGGGACATGTTGAATACTTGACATACGCACTTGGGACAATTGGGACGACTTGAAGAGGTGCAAAGGCCGATTCGAAGAGGTGCAAAAGCCAAGGTTTTCATGGCTACTTTTCCTTACCTGGACGGGCTAGTATACCCTATAACCCTTAAAAGGCCCTTTATAGGGTTGACTATGGGGATTATGGGGCCTAATAGCCCGTCCTGGTAGCGCGAAAGACATTTCCGGAAGGCGCCGGTGAAGTCGCAGTCAGCTCTTACAGCAAGCCAAGCCAGCAGGCGGGTCTCCAAAATCCCTTTTTTCAGGATTTAGGGTTTAGGGTTTAGGGTTTAGGGTTTAGCAGGACCTCCAAGAACCGACCAAAGCTCTCCATTGCAAAGATTTCAGGCAGGTGTGAGGGTTCGGGGGTAGGGGGGAGGGTTCAGGGGTACCAGCCCTAAACCCTAAACCCGAAACCCTAAACCTTAAACCCTAAACCCCCTGATGAAGGGCCAAGCCTTGATGTTGGGTGGTCTGTTTCTGTGCGTGGAAGGAGCTCAGCACAGACCTGCTCACACAGCTCGTGGAGACCGCCATTCCGCTTCTTGGGATAACAGTTTAGGGTTTAGGGTTTAGGGCTTAGAGGGGCAATGAGCCTTTGGGGGTGGACTGCTCGCGCACGTCATCCCAAGGCCCGAAGCTAGGTAGGCCAGTGGGATATCTATACTTTCCATTCATTTAATTTAAGAAGAATCGAAGCGGGGACCCCCTTGTTCTTGGTTTTATGTTACCCTGAACCTCAACCCTAAAACCCTAAAACCCTAAAACCCTAAAACCCTAAAACCCCAAAACCCTAAAACCCTAAAAACCCTAAAACCCTAAAACCCTAAAACCCCAAAACCCTAAAACCCTAAAACCCTAAAACCCTAAAACCCTAAAACCCTAAAACCCTAAAACCCTAAAACCCTAAAACCCTAAAACCCTAAAACCGCAAAACCCTAAAACCCTAAAACCCTAAAACCCTAAAACCCTAAAACCCTAAAACCCTAAAACCCTAAAACCCTAAAACCCTAAAACCCTAAAACCCTAAAAACCTAAAACCCTAAAACCCTAAAACCCTAAAACCCTAAAACCCTAAAACCCTAAAACCCTAAAACCCTAAAACCCTAAAACCCTAAAACCCTAAACCCTAAAACCCTAAAACCCTAAAACCCTAAAACCCTAAAACCCTAAAACCCTAAAACCCTACAACCCCAAACCCTAAACCCTAAACCCCAAAAAAACCCTGAGCCCAAGCTCCCAAGGCATCTCATTACTTTTCACCTCTCCGCCTGCCTTCCGGACGGCGCAGCGGCGCTGGTGTGCCGGGAGCTGCACTGGCAACCGGGTTAGGGTTTAGGGTTTAGGGTTTCGGGCTTAGGGCTTAGGGCTTAGGGTTCAGGGTTTAGGGCTTAGGGCTTAGGGCTTACGGCTTGGGGTTTAGGGTTTAGGGTTTAGGGTTTAGGGTTTAGGGTTTAGGGTTTAGGGGCCAAGCTTCGGGTTTAAGGCTTCGAGTCTCTTGGGCACCCTTTGAGCACCTAAAGCCCGAAGCCTTTCAGATCCCACATATGTCCCTTTCTAAGGGTAGTTACATGGTCCTTTGTGCGCATACCCCCCACACACCGGTTTAGGGTTTAGGGTGTGCGGTTTATATAGGGTTCAAGTAGCCACATGGTCCCTCGAGCCCTTGTTCCCGTTTTGGGGGGGTCAGGTTCCCTAATAGGCCCCTTTTACGCCAGCAAGGAGCACTCATTTTTCCTGGGTTACTCTTGGGTCTAGTTGTCTAAGGGTAGCTCAGTTGTCTAAGGGTAGCTACATGGTCCCTTAATGTAGCCCTAAACCCTAAACCCTAAACCCTAAACCCTAAACCCTAAACCCTAAACCCTACACCCCCTCACCTTCCTTGAAGGCTTCTGAAGTATGGGCGGCCCTTGGGTTTTGTAGGGTATATAAAGGGGCTATATCAGGGTTTCCCAATGAGGGGCCCATATCAGGGTTTAGGGTTTAGGGGTTAGGGTTTAGGGGTGAGGGTTTAGGGTTTAGGGTTTAGGGTTTAGGGTTTAGGGTTTAGGGTTTAGGGTTTAGGGTTTAGGGACCACGTAACTGCCCTAAGGCTGAACCCACGTTGGGCGCCTGACTTATTACTTTCTGCGGGGGCTTAGGGTCTTTGATGAGCTCCTCGAACCAAAAAGGGCACCCTTTTCATTCCTAGGTTAGTTACTCTTGGGTCTAGAGAATGTCCCAGTTTTCTTAACATATTTGCAGCCCAGCGTGCTTGAACTTACGGACGCTTTCTCCGATTGTGCCTCGCAGATTGACACACCCCCCCCCCGTCCCCCGTAGAAAGATGTATTGTAAACAAGGGGGTATTTATTTCGGCTAGCTTTTACGGCTTCAGGCTTGGGGCTTAGGGTGTCGGGCCCAGTGTACCTGAAATAAAGATATGAGCAATGGGTTTTTTAAGGGGATCGAATTGAGTCTTCGGGCTCCCGTATTCCGATAAGCCCTTAAGTTCGCGAGTAAGCCCTAACACCCTAAACCCGAAACCGTGAACCCTGGAATCCCTAACTGGACCTCCCAAGTATGCACAACAAAACAAACCCAACCCCATAAAAAAGGACCATGATGTTACCATACTTTGAGGCTTTTTGGTAAGCCTGTTCTAACAACAGCTTGGGATGTGCCCCCCCCTTCTACTTACCGTCCTTCATGGGGGAATATCGTACCCCCCTACTATCATCCCCATGAAGGACTGTTAGTAGCCCTAAACCCTAAACCCTAAACCCTAAACCCTAAACCCTAAACCCTAAACCCTAAACCCTAAACGAAGCATCCCAAAACAACAGCAGCGCAGGGCGCAGGTGCTCGAGGTCATGGCGATGAAGCTCTTTGCCGGGGGCCCTAGCCTTGATTTTTTTTGGAGGAGGTTTGAGGGTTTAGGGTTTAGGGTTTAGGGTTTAGGGTTTAGGGTTTAGGGTTTAGGGCTGGGGATCTTCTCCCTTAGGCTAACAGTCCGTAAAGATGGGATTTTTAATCAGGGGGGGGGGGGGGGTACTAGAATCCCAACTAAGGACTGTTAGTGTAAGGAGGAACATCCCAAGATTTGTTTACCGTGTCGTCTCTCTCTTTTTTTGGGGGGGGGGGGCGGGGGGGGGGGGGGGGGGGGGGGTGAAGAAGCCTGGCTGTCGACAAAGTGAAACGTGCACCGGCTTCAGGACACGGGCACTTGGTACAGGCCACCCCCCCCCCCCCCCCTCTAGCCCCCCAAACAACCTAAGCCTAACAAACCTCAGCCAACACCCAATTCCCGACACCCTAGACCCTAAACCCTGAACCCTCCCAATGCCCTACAGTAAAAGCACCCTAGCCATGAAACTTCTCTCTCTCTCTCTCTCTCTCTGCGGGAGGGGATACTACAGTAACCGAAACAGAGGTTGTGCAGGAAGTTGCCGGAAATTTCGGGTCGAGGTACATGGGTTGGACTGCGGGAGGCCCGGTGCCTCACGCCTCACAGATCACAAGGAACCAAAATTTCAGGGCTCCACCCCCCCTTAGACCCTGAGCCCTAAACCCTGAACCCTGAACCCTGAACCCTAAACCCTGAACCCTAAACCCTAAACCCTAAACCCGAACCTCAGTCAAGGCCATTAGTCCCGGGAAGAAAGCTTTGAAGCCTCGGCAGATCGACGGCGGCGACCTGCTGCTACCGGAGGCAATGCAGCGCGTGCTGGACACAGCAACTTGGTGGCGGAAAGGGTTTAGGGTTTAGGGTTTTGGGTTTTGGGTTTTGGGTTTAGGGTTTAGGGTTTAGGGTTATAGGCTTATAGGCTTATAGGGTTATAGGGTTATAGGGTTTAGGGCTTTGGGCAGGCTATTTGAGGTCTTTGAGTTTGCTTGTGCTTTTAGGTTTTTAGGGCTCTAGGGCTTTCTGGTTTAGGGTGACTGGGGCCATACTGTCAGCTCAGGAGCATCCAGACCTGACCGGCAGCTGGCCCTTCGCAGCCTGGAAAGAATCAGAAAACCCAAAACCCTAAATGGGTTCAGGGTTTAGGGTGTAGGGTTCAGGGTTTAGGGTTTAGGGCTTAGGGTTTAGGAACCCTTCATACCCCAATTGCCTAACCCCAATGCCCTAATGCCGTAATACCTTAATACCGTAATGACCTAATGCCCTAATACCCAAAAACCTCAATACCCCACAGCCCCAACACCCTAGCACCCTACAAACCCTGGAGCAACTCTACTCCAGAACAAGGCTGAGCTATTACAAGTCCTAGCCCTCGTCCTCTACGTTGAGATCCCAAACTTTATCCTGGAGGGGTCTAGTACTCAGCGGGGTAACGTTGAAACCGTCCTTGGTACCCTAAACCCACACACCCTAAACCCCACACGCCCCTAAAGCCCTAAACCCCCAAGCTTTTCTTATCCTAAACCCTAGCTGGCCCCAGGAAGGTGAGAACAGCCGTGGTTTCTTCCCCCTTGGAATATGGGTCGGTCCCTAAAACACCAGCTAAGGTTTCGGGTTTAGGGTTTAGGGTTTTCGGTTAAAGAACCCTTAAGCCTTGAAACTCCAAAACCCTCCAAGGGACCTTGTGTTAGAGAACTGCCCATCCGGAGGAGCGGAGGGGTCCATGGATCGAGTCCAGGGCCTAAGCTTTCGGGCATGTAACTATCCTAAGAATCTCACAGCCTTTATCCTGAGCTAACCCTTTCATGGGTCAGAAGTTGTCGCGCAATCTTCGTTCTGCTAGGGGAAGCCCTTCTTTGGGTGAAATTGTGTGCGGGAACCCCTCAACAACCCTAAGACCAAAACCCCCAAACCCCAACAGTCTTTTGTTCTGCCGTGACATCGGAACCCTAAAGCCCTAAACCCTAAACCCTAAACCCCAAATCCCAGGTGGAATCGCTAATCACAGCCGGACAGTTCATCCTCGTGGAGCCATGTCTACCGCCACTTGGAACTCTCCAAGGATGGGCTACTAGTCGCCCTAAACCCTAAACCCTAAACCCTAAACCCTAAACCCTAAACCCTAAACCCTAAACCCTAAACCCTGTAATCCCCAGAATCAACCCTGTAAAGGGGCCTTTTTCAGGGTCTAGGGTTTAGGGTTTAGGGTTTAGGGTTTAGGGTTCAGGGTCCAGGGTCAGGGTTCCTATGCCGTCCTGGCTCTTGGCCCCCGCACGAAGGGCTTTACAGGGCTTGCTGTTTTGACCTTAGGAACCCCAAAAACCTACTAGGAGCCCTTGCTGCCCTAAACTCTAAACCCCAAACCCCAAACCCTAAACCCTAAAACCTAAACCCTAAAGGGGTCCAAGGCATAGGATCTCTTGATGTTGAGGTCCTTCCACGACGAGCGCCGCGGGAAGATGGCGATGCGCTTCGCTCCGGCATCCCGGTGAAGGGTTCAGGGTTTAGGGTTCGGGTTTCGGGTTTCGGGTTCAGGGTTTCGGGTTTAGGGTTTAGGGTTTAGGTTTAGGGTGCAGGGTTGTTTAGGCCTTAGGGTTTAGGGAGTTTTTTTCTTCAGCGAGACATGTACCTATATGGTTATACTCTTGGGCTCCCAGAGAAACTCTGTAGGAGTCCCTCTAAGGTTGGGGTTTGTTGGTGGTCTGTTTTGGTTTAGTTGTTTGACGTGTGCATGTGCATGGGCGTGCTCGTGCCAGGGATTTCTTCCGGCCGCTTGCGTGTGTGCTAGCTATGTGGCAGGAAGTGGGGGGGGGGGGGGGGGCCGCTCAAGTGGGGTTTAGGATTTAGGGTTTAGGGTTTAGTGATGTTTAGTGGTTAGGGCTAGGGATCAAGAGTTAAGGTCCTGCATGTTGGTTGCATCACGAGGGCTTCTGCAAGACTGCTTCAGGCCACTTGAGAGGCACTGCCCGTCCCCCTGAAGCCGCCAACCAACAAACGCGGAGGTCATTGCCACTTTTGCTGTTGGGAGGCGTTGTTTAGGGTGACTTTTGGGGCATTTCAACATGTTCCCTTCTGGCCTACATTCTAAATATTATTGGACGCCAAGATATTCAATTTCAATAGACAGGGGATGGTTGCATGGTACGCCTAGCCACCAGTTGACCTAGGGTTTAGGGTTTAGGGTTTTTTCCCCCCCCCCCCCCCCCCCCCCCGTTCCAAGCCAAACCCATTTTTTTGGATCCGAACATTCACACTCCGCAGCCTGCTACTTAAAACTCCGAAAACAACCTCAACCTCAAACCCCGAAACTTTCAGGGTTTCAGGGGTTTAGGCCGAGGGCTCAGGGCTTAGGGCTGCAAACCCTGAGCCCAAAACCCTTACACAGAGACTCCAAAACCCCTAAAGTATGGAATATACCTTAGATCATGTTAGGGTTCCCTCGTATAGCTTAGAGGCTATTCCTTACTTAAAGGGGTTTTGGAGGCTCTGGGTGCACCCTAAAAAGCTATCTGCCGCTTAGCTGCCACTCCGCGACTTCTTCCTGGCCCGGTGCTTCACGCGTGCCTGGAACAACAGATTTGTCCCAAAATGTTGGGTTCAGGTTTTACTGTATGATTTTACTGTATGATTTAGGACCAAGATTGTTTCCCAAATGGTTCAGGTTTCACTGTATGATTTAGGGCCAAGATTGTTTCCAAAATAGTTCAGGTTTTACTGCAGGATTTAGGGCAAGGAGTGTTCCCAAAATGTTGGGTCCAGGTTTTACTGTAGGATTTGGGGCTTTTAGAGCTGCAGGGTTATAACTTCAAAGGGCTTTTGAGGATGAGGGTCTGTCCCTCAAGGACCCAATGGAGGTGATTCAGGGGATCGTACAAGGTTACTTTGCAGGGCTTGCTTGGCTTCTGGTTTCAGTAGGGTAAAGGGTAGGGGTTTAGGACCGCGATCTCGGTTGGTGACAGTTCCCTAAACTTAAACTTTAAGTGGTTCAGGGCTCAGGGGAACTCACCTGTGGTGTGGACTGCCTATAATGAGTGTGTTATGTAATATTTGTGCTTATTTGGGGGTTCCCTTATTTTGGGAACACCCAGTTTTCTCAGCCCGGCACCTGTGGTGCCTCGCACTGACGAGAGAGTCTGCGGAGCTTGTCATGCACATCCACGAACTGCTTTGGGTCACAGGTCAGTCAGCCGCTGAGAAGCTCACAAGCGCCCTACCAGAGATATACCAGTCGCCGGCGACACAGGTCCACTTGCGCAATTGCGCCTGCTTGTGGTGCTGGAAGCCGGAACTCTGGTTCCAGAAGCACCGACGCTCCGGCAGCCTTTGCAGCTCCTCGATACTGGAGAGTCTTAGCAGTTGGAGGCGGCCCCACCACAGCTCGCCCAGGAGATGTCGCCAGGTTCCTCCGCCTACCGTGGTGCGCTGGGACGGCTGCTGGCCAGCCCAGGTGGCGCCGCACCACGTTCGCCACCGCTTCCTTTCAGGCCCACGACGGCGGCATGAAAGGCGTGGACGAGGAACTGCAAAGCAACACAGCCACGTTCTACCACTGGTTGGTAAGCATTCCTCTGTCCGGATGGGTGTTGTGGAACGATAGGGCTTTCTTGTTTCGAGCTGAAGCTTGACGCCCCTCTCTCCCCTCCCCCTCCCCTAAACCCTACACCCTAAACCCTAAACCCGAAACCCTAAAACCCAAACCCTAAACCCTAAAATCGGGACCCTAAACCCTAAACCCTCACCCACCCTCCTGTTCTCTTCCCTCCCATCCCTTTGGCCGTAAGGGCTGTCATAGTTTACAGGGTTAGTGTTTACGTGCTTGCAGCCGCTGTAGGGTTTTGCGACTTCACCATACCACCTCTTTGTGCCTGGTTAATCGCTTGAAGTTCCACCCTCTTCACCTAAACCCTTGGGACCCCAAACCCGAAATCCTACTTGCCCCAAACTTCTCAAAGTACCAAAGCCCTGAAGGCTACATCGGCGAAAAGCGGGTGCTAGGGCTGCCCCCTGCAGAGGCGGGGGCAAGGGGTGTTAATATAGGGGTCGGAATGATAAACCCTAAACCCTAAACCATAAACCTTCTTCCCTTATGGTCCCTATATTTGGCCAGGAATTGCGACACATCAGAGAACAGTGATGCGATGCGCATCTGAGACCCTCATCAGCCGGATTAGCAGAGAGAAAGGGGTGTTAGGGTTTAGGGTTTAGGGTTTAGGGTTCAGAAAGTTTAGGGCGTTTAGGGGTGCTGAGATGGTGCGCTTGTTTCCGGGAATGCCAAGAGGAACTTCACCCCTCTGTAGTGTAGGTGCAGACCCAAGACCCTAAACCCTAAACCCCAAATCCTAAACCCTAAACCCCAAACCCTAAACCCTAAACCCCAAACCCTAAACCCCAAACCCTAAACCCTAAACCCTGAACAGGACATCATCTTCGACTCGGACTGGAACCTGTTCTTTGATTTCCTGATCGAGCTGGCGGCCACAAGCAACGTCTGCGTGACGGTGGACCTGAGCAAGAAGCCGGAGACTTGCTCTGCAGGAAGAGGGCTGCCTAAAGAGGTTTAGGGTTTAGGGTTTAGGGTTTAGGGGGTTTAGGATTTAGGATTTAGGGTTTAAGGTTCCAGGGTCCCTGAACAACTGTACCGAAAAGTTTTGCTTGGTATCCTGATATGGTTTAGGGCCTCTTCCACAATTAAGGGCTCTTGGGCTCTCTGTTTAAACTGCTTTCTCTTTCTCTTAGGCGTTCGTTCTTTTTTTTTGAGGAGTGGTTCTTCTAACCCTAACCCTCAACCCTAAACCCTTAAACCCCTTGTTTTGCTCCTTGCTTCAGCCCATTCACGCAGAAGGGGACCTACGATACAAGATCCAAGATTGTCCCCTTATGGGGTTTGGGGTTTTCGGGTTTAGGGATTAGGGTTGCACTTTCTAACGGAACAGGCCCCCCGTAGAGAGTCCCACCCGTAGCACTAAAGGATTTAAACCCTTGTGGTAAGCTCCATGTTGATGTCATGGGGTCTTGGGTTGGGGAAACCTGTTAATCTTCGCCGTGCGTGTAAACCCTAAACCCTAAACCACAAAGGCCTAAACCCCAAACCCCAAACCCCCAACCCCCAACCCCCAACCCCCAACCCCCAACCCCCAACCCCCAACCCCCAACCCCCAACGCCCAACGCCCAACGCCCAACGCCCAACCCCACACCCCACCCCCGCCCCCAGGTGCTGTCACAAGCAAACCCCTAACCCCTAAACCCTAAACCCTAAACCCTAAAAACCCTAAACCCTAAACCCTAAACCCTAAACCCTAACCCTAAACCAAAAACCCCCCCCCCCCCCAGGTACTGTCAGAAGCAAACTTGGCCAACTTCACAGCGCGTCTCCGAAACCTCCAGACACCGGTCATCGAGATGCGGCTGCCGCCCAACCAGGCGCGACCTCTGGGACCCGGAGTAGCCCCTGATAGGGTTTAGGGTTTAGGGTTTAGGGTTTAGGGTTTAGGGTTTAGGGTCTAGGGTTTAGGGTTTAGGGTTTAGGGTTTAGGGTTTAGGGTTTAGGGTTTAGGTTTAGGGTTTAGGGTTTAGGGCTTGGACCCAGAGGAGGCTCTGGCTCTTATTACCTTTTTGTTGAGCCCTGATGAGTCCCTTCAACCCAAAAAGGGCTATTCCTAAGTGATTCTTGGGTCGAGGCTTTCGGAGGGCTTGGTAGGGCTGATAAGAGTGCATTAGGGTTGCAGACAGGGTTTATCAGGTTTGTTTTTTTGGGCTCTATGGGGTTTAGTGGGCTTTGTTGGGATTTATAGGGCTTTTTTAGGGTTTAGGGTTTAGGGGTTGATGTCATGTCTCTTGCTTTTAAACCCCAAACCCGAAACCCTAAACCGTTTTTGTTTTTGTTGTTTTTTGTTTCTTTTTTTAATGGGGGGGGGGGCGGGGGTGGGGCTTCTTCGAGTGTGACAGCGAACAGATCTCCTTAGCTCAGAGTCAGCAGCGCTCAGGTTGCCAGCCCTAAACCCCAAACCCCAAACCCCAAACCCCAAACCCCAAACCCCAAACCCCAAACCCTAAACCCTGAGTACGTGATCTCAAGAACCTAGGATGGGGCCTCGGCGGATGAAAGCCCGGGGAAAAATTCCAAGACAAACTGCGCGCATGATAGTTCTAAGGTAGGATTTGTGGCTTGGGGAAAATGCAGGATACCCTAAACCCTAAACCCTAAACCCTAAACCCCTACACCCTAAAGCCAGGGTTCTTGGCTCTCGCCAGGCATGATCCCTTTCCTACACAAATCTTGACTTCGAACGGGTCCAGGGTCAAGGATCTAGGGTTTAGGATCTAGGGTTTACTATATCCCCCTTGGGAACTGTTTTTTTGTTTATATGAACTCAAGAGGAGATTAAAACCAGTATTTTTACAAGGTTCTAAGGGGAGTATAGTTTAGGGTTTAGGGTCTGGGGTGTAGGGTTTAGGGTTTAGAGGACCCTCATCTCTGTTAAGGGTTCTATCTGGGCAGGAGCGCCTAGGTTTTTTCGTTCTGTTTCATATCAGCATCAAACTTCGGCACCCAAAACAAGGAACTGCCAGTCGGGGTCTACGAATCACGTTCGCTTTCAAGGTGCTTCAGCACCAGGAGGATGGGCTTAGGGCTCTGGGGAAACAAGAACCCTAAACCCTAAACCCTAAACCCTAAACCCTAAAGAAACATTATACCAGGACCCAGAGTCGGCCCCCTTTTTTTAGGGTTTGAGGTTCCCGTTCTAGGGCCAACCGAAACCAAGAAGGGCACCTTTGTTATGGCTAGGCTACTCTCTGGTATATGTGCCATATATTCGGGGACTCTCTCGCCCGACGAGCTGGGTGACTCCTGAATGCCAGAACATGAGATGCTGGACTCGAAACCACAAACGCTAAACCCCAAACTCAAAAATCCCAAACCCCAAGCCCTAAACCCCAAGCCCTAAACCCTAAACCCCAAACCCCAAACCCCAAACCCTAAACCCTAAACCAGCAGGTCAACGCGATCCCCAAGCTACAGCAGCTCCTGGACTCAGCGGCAAAGTCCGTGCGATCGCTGGGCATGGAGGGCCCCTTGGGATGCCTGTTATTTGTTTGGGGTTTGGGGTTTAGGGTTTAGGGTGTGGGGTTTAGGGTTTAGGGTTTAGGGTTTAGGGTTTGGGGTTCAGGGTTCAGGGTTTAGGGTTTGGGGTTGGGGGTGGGTTTGGGGCTTAGGGTTTGCGGCTTCGGGTTTAGGGTGTTCGAGTACAGCTTCAGGAGTGGGCCTCGAAAGGTCCGTAAGTGCTTTAGGATGTTAGGTTTAGGGTTTCGGGTTTAGGGTTTAGGGTTTAGGGTTTAGGGTTTAGGGTTTAGGGTTTAGGGTGGTGTGTAGGGGTTTCAGGGTGGAAGGTTTTGGTTCCCTATGAAACCCTAAAGTTCAGGGTTTAGGGTTTGGGGTTTTAACCCTAAACATCTTTGGTTCAGAAGGGTGTCTAAGCGAGCCCTTTCCATGACACAGCAACCTTCAAAGACAGAGTTTCGAAGTCCCCATATACCTAAGTAGCCCCCCCACATTACCCCAAATTACACCCCCCTCGAGGGGGCTCTTGTAAACCCTAAACGCTAGCTCCTAAACCCTAAACCCTGAAGCCTATCCCCTCCTGTAGTCCCTTGAAAGAGTTCTTTCTAGGATGCCCAGTAGTACCCTTATTCCCTTTTGGGTAGGTTTAGGTTCCCTTATAAACCCCTTTAAGCAAAAAAGGCACCCTTTTTCATCCTAGGTTACTGGGCAGCCTTGAAAGAGTTCTTTAGGATTTCAGTCACCGAAGGACCCGAAGCACTTTTCCGGACGATCCATAGTTCTGAGCTTCTCTTTAGGTTTCTTGGGCATCCAACGCCATGAACGACGCTTTATAAACAAAGGACAACATAAACATGTAGATATATGCATCCTCTTATATGTGTATATGTAGAACTCTATATATATATATAAATAAATAAAGATATTTACTTGTTTACATGTTTAAAATTTAGTATACAATACCATTATATCTATCTATATATATATATAAGAATAAGAAGAATAAGGATAAGAATAAGAATAAGAATAAGAGTAAGGGTAAGAATAAGAATAAGAAGGATAAACCAATAAGAACAGATAAATACATACAAACAACAATAAATAGTAAATAGCAATAATGATAACAACAGCAATAGTTATCATAAACATAACAATGATATTAATAATTCTCCTCGGCCAGGGAAACCCGCAAATCAGAGTCCTTGGGGCCTCGGGGTTTATTCTTGTGTTTGTCTAATAGTTTGGGTTTGGGGTTGAGGGTCAACCCTAAACCTCAAACTCTAAACCCCAAACCCTAAACCCTAAACCTGAAACCACGTTATTTGAGCCTCCAGCCTGCGGCCGTTTCGAAGGCAATGCTCTCACGGAGGCGGGCGCCGAGGTGCTGGCAAAGGCCGGTTTCCCGCCCCCCCCCCCCCGCTCCCCCCGCTCCCCCCATCCCTTCCCGGCTCCCCCCCCGCTCCCCCCGCTCCCCCGCTCCCCCAGCTCCCCCCGCCTCCTCCCCCCGCTCCGCGCCCTCCCCCGCTCCCCCCGCTCCCCCCTCCCCCCGCTGCCCCGCTGCCCCCTCCCCCCTCCCCCCGCTCCCCCGCCCCCCCCCCCCTCGCTCCGGTTCAGGGTTTTGGGTTTAGGGTTGAGGGCTTAATGAATAGGGGCCTTTATATGTAGAATAGGGGTTAGTATGGTATATTTATAAAGGGACCATAAGGGGATGCTATGAGCAATTCTTCCGACCCCTCTATTGCGTGGTGGTGGTGTATAAAGAATATATATATATATACATATATACATATATGCATAACTATGTATAGAGAGTGGAGTTGATCTATCAAGATCGTGGAGCACATTGCAACAGCAGTCGTAGCTAATATGACAGCAGTACATGCTAAAGAGAAATCGTTGCAATGCACATTCCTGGACTTTTGGTGGGTAAAGTGCACTTGTTGGGCTCCGAAGCCCGTTCTGCACAAAGAATCCTTAGAGCCCAATCTGCACAGCAGGGTGCCTCGGTTCAAGGCGTCCCATCAGACAGCTTTGCAGCACGTGTGCTACAGATGACCCTAAGCCCTACATCCTAAACCCCAAACCCTAAAACGACCCGGACAGTTCCCAAGGCCTGAAGTATTAAAGCCCTTCCTGCCCGAGGCCCTCATCCCTAAACCCGAAGTACCAACCCGAAAAAATGAAAATCCGAAGTGCCAGATCAACCCTATCAAGCCTAGCCACAAAAGCCCTAAAACCTCAAGCCACGCAGCCCATAGACTGCGGTCGACTGCGGTCGCCTGCGGTCTAAGGGTGGTTTCCTACCTTCGCTGAAGGTTTCTGAAGTATGGGCCCTTGGGTTGTGCAGGGTTTTTAAGGGGGGGCTTTCTGAGGGTTCCCCAATTCAGGGTTCGTACTAACAGACCAGGTAACTTTACGGTTTAGGGTTTAGGCTTTAGGGGTTTAGGGGTTTAGGGGTTTAGGGGTTTAGGGGTTAGGGTTTGGGGTTTAGGGTTTAGGGTTTAGGGTTTAGGGTTTAGGGTTTAGCCCCCAAGTGGCAGTGGAGGCGCTTTCCACTGGCTGCGAGCTGCTGTCTTTGGAAGTGCCGAGTCTCCTGGTGGCGAAAGCCGACATACCGCTCCCCTTAGCCAGACCGTTTAGGGTTTAGGGTTTAGGGTTTAGGGTTTAGGGTTTAGGGTTTAGGGGTTAGGGTTTAGGGTTTAAAATAGAGCTCCCAAAGAGTACCCTATAGTACTATTGGGTCATTCTGAGGAATTCTGGGTAAGTACCCTTGTTGAGGCTTAAGGGCTTAGGGTTTTGGGGTTTAGGATGTAGGGTTTAGGGTCTGGAGTTTAGGGTTTAAGGGTAACCCTAAAATGCAAAAACGGGGCCGGGGGAGGGGGCAGGGCTGGACTCAGTTCTCTGGGCTACTCTGGTAATTTAGGGATGACTCTTTTTCTTTTGGGGTTTTTAAGCAAATAGTAGTTTAGAGATTTGGCAGGTAGGTAGCATCTGAAGTCGTTGCAGCAACTGCACTTCCTTAAAGAATTCTTGTGAGCAAACAACAGTATACACCCTGAAAGCCTAGCCACCCTTTCAGCCCTATTCCGACATGGGGGGGCGGGGGGCGGGGGGCAGCGGGGGTATCTAAAGTGTGCACACTTTTCGGGGTGCCCTCAATCCCAGACCCCTTGGGGGACCCAACAAGCAGGTCCCCTTAAGGGTTCCTAAGGGTTCCCTAAACCCTAAACCCCAAACCCTAAACCCCAAACCCTAAACCCTAAACCCTAAACCCTAAATCGTAGTATAGGGTACTATTTGGGGGTTCTATTTGTTGGATCCTCCCAGGGGGTCTGGGGTCTGAGGCGCCACGAAGTGGAAAATGCATACCCCGAGAAGTCTCATGAGCCTCAAAAAAGTCTGGAAAGCACGTCCCTAAACCCCAAACCCTAAACCCTAAACCCTAAACCCTGTAATTCCTAACTTATGAAGTTTGGCCAAGCATTCGTGCCTGCCCTAAGCACTACACCCCTAAACCCTAAACACTCGACCCTATATGATTTGAGGCCTCTCCCGGGGCCTTAGCCAAGCCGCTAAGTCCCGGGACTCAGGGTTTAGGGTTGTTTGGGGCTTTATTTCTCTAGGGTTTAGGGTTTAGGGTTTAGGGTTTAGGGTCGGCAGATACCTCGGGTCTACCTTCTAAATTGTTCGGGGGAGTGGGGGCTTCCCGTCTTGGGGGTTCCTTAAATAAGGATAAGATTTGCTTTGGGGGTATATGACAGGCCCCTCTTTTGGGAAATGCTGAAACCTATTAAGGTTCCAAGCCCCAAATACCCTCTGAAACCTGCTAAGGCTCCAAGCCCCAGGTACCCTCAAACTCTCGATCCCCTAAACCCTAAACCCTAAACCCTAAACCCTAAACCCTAAACCCTAAACCCTAAACCCTAAACCCACAACCCTAAACCCTAAACCCCATGTGCCTTGAGCATCCTGATTGCAGAGGCTGCCTTCTGGGCCCAGACGGCGTGAAGGCGCTGTTGCAGGCGCTCATGCTGAGCCAGCGTTCATGTCGGTTTCTTTTACCAGCAGCTTCGGGGTGAGGGTTTAGGGTTTGGGGTTTGGGGTTTAGGGGTTATGGTTTAGGGTTTAGGGCTTAGGGCTTAGGGCTTAGGGTTTAGGATTTAGGGTTTAGGGTTTAGGGTTTAGGGCGGAAGACCCACATTACCTCAAGGGACTCGAGTGTCGTGTTCCCTGGGTGTTTTCATAGGGTGGCCGAGGGTGTTGTTGTGGGGTTCAAGGTTCAAGGTTTAGGGTTTAGGGTTTAGGGTTAGGGTTTAGGGTTAGGGTTTAGGGTTTAGGGTTTTAGGGCTCAGGGCGGGCTGCGCAGTGTCAGGGTTTGAGGGTTTTCGGGCTCACCTGACTATCCCCAGGCATTCCTGGATGCCCCACGACCGTCCAAGCGGCCCTCCAAGGGCAAACGGCTGAAGGTGGAGGCGATGCTTTCATGGGTTCCCTTAGCCCCCTCTATACTACCCCCCCCGCCCCCCCCCCCCCCCCATAATTCAGGCTATTTAGGGATATTTAAGCCTATTTAAGCGTATTTGAGGGGGGAACCTAAGGGGGGACCCATGATACTTGGGGTGGCTAAGGGCTGTAGGGGATTGAGGGCTTAGGGAACAGGGCCCAAACGCCTGAACCGCCAAACCCCAAACTACCATACCCCCAAATCCCCTGGCCTAAGCCCCTAAACCCCAAACCCTAAGCCCTCAACCCTACACCCTAAACCTAAACCGCAGAAACCGCCAAATCAACCTCATCTCAAGTCCCCGCTGTCCCTAAAGCATTAACCCCTAACACCTGAATTCCCTAAACCCCCACAACCCTAAACCCCCAAACCCCCAGCCCCGAAACCGTAAACCCCCAAACGGCCTGGATTTTAGGGCCTCAGGGCCCAGGCATTTGGCACAAAAGGGTTTAGGGAATAAGTAAATTTACAGAAGGCAACAAGCAGGTGTTTTTTTTGGGTGTGTGTGTGTGTTGGCGGGTTTATGGATTGAGCGAACTTTATTGTTCCATATGTTGCGGGATTCTCTGGGCGGGTGGTATTTTTTCCAACGCTTGACAAGCTGCTTGACTAGTGAATGCTTGGCCTTGAGATGCTGAACCCTAAGCCCTAAACCCTAACCCTAAACCCCAAACCCCAAACCCTAAACCCTAAACCCTAAACCCTAAACCCTAAACCCTAAACCCGCACCCAGCCGACGAGGCGGCGCCTGAGAGCGAGGTGGTGCCGCTGCCGCCTGAGGAGCCACAGCGGGCACCTCTCAAGGCTGTTGAGGGTTTAGGGTTTAGGGTTTAGGGTTTAGGGTTTAGGGCTAGGGTTTAGGGCTAGGGTTTAGGGTTTAGGGGTGTTAGGCGTTAGGGGTGTTAGGAGCTAGGGGCGTTCGGGGCGTTAGGGGTCTTAGGGGTTTTAGGGTTTAGGGTTTAAAGAGTTTTAGGGTTTTAGGGTTTTCGGGTTTAGGTTTTCTGCTTTTCGGTTTGCGGCTCCAGGGGTTTTTGGCCCTTAGGGCTTTCGGGTTTTAGGGCTTTAGGGTTTACAACCCTAAACCCTAAACCCGAAACCCTAAACCCTGAACCCCTAAACCCTAAACCCGAAACCCTAAACCCTGTACGGTTCATGGGGCTCAGCCCTGATCCTCGAGAGTGCCCTGTCCGCCCAAAGCCTATAGCACCACGCTA